TTCTTTTCTATTTTTGTTTAAGGACGGGAAGTAGTAACAAGGTCTAGGTTCTATCCCAATCTGGTAACAAGTTGAAGTATTGATATTTATTCTGAAAATAATTGGAGAAAGGGATCTTGAAACTATCTACCAGTTGAATGAAGCAATAATTATAAAAGATATAACTTGGAAGAGAAATTAACAATAGAAAATCAATATTCTTTCTGATTAGAAGTTTTCAAGTATAAAGTCTCAATAAATACTTTCCTGGAAGTGCCCTTAAATATTCTTGGACATCAACTACTTCAATGGAAATTAAACAGTTTGATTGGCCACAGGTAGTAAGAAGTGAGAATTCATAAGGAGCTTGGATTTTGAAGTTTATAGAGATAACCTTTTTAATGATAGTTAGAATAGATAATAGTTTTTTTTTTCTTTTTTTTTTTTAAAAATTTCCTTTTTTATTTCTTTTTCCCCTTGCATAGTTACTACAAGAGAGGGTGACACAATTTGGGTTTATGATTGTGATTGTAGAGGTGATCTGCAGGTTTTGATTCTATTGGAAGTTCAGGATCTTAATCTCATTTATTAGGGAAACAACATTATTATTTCTATAAATTATATCTAGAGGCTTTGGCTGTCAATAGGTGAATTGGATTGGAGAAATTTATACTTTGCATACATTCTTAACTTGTAATGATTCTTTATGATTTAATAAATAAATAACACTAATCTAATTATGGAATTAAATAATAATAATAATAATAATAATAATAATAATAATTAATAGTTAAAAAAAATTAATTGGAAATTAATTAATAATAAAAAAATTAATAATAAGAAATTAATTAACAATTAAAAAATTAATAAAAAAAAATTAATAATCAGAAAATTAATTAATAATTAAAAAATTAATAAAAAAAAAATTAATAATAAAAAATTAATAACAATCAAAAAATTAATAAAAAAAAATTAATAATCAAGAAATTAATAATCAAAAAATTAAATCAAAAAACCAATAATCAAAAAACAATAATCAAAAAACAATAATCAAAAAATTAATAATCAAAAAATTAATAATTAAAAAATTAATAATCAAAAAAAGTAATAAAAAAATTAATAATCAAAAAAATTAAAAATTAAAATTAAAAATATAATAATCAAAAAATTATTAATAAAAATCTAGTAATCAAAAAATTATTAATCAAAAAATTAATAATCAAAAATCAAAAATTAAGTAATTAATAATTAATTAATAACCAAAAGATTAAAAATCTTAATAATCAATAAATTAATAAAAAAAAAAATTAATAAAAAAATTAGTAATCAAAAAATTAATAATTAAAAAATTCATAATAAAAATCTAATAATTAAAAGATTAATAATAAAAAATTAATAATTAAAAAGTTAATAACGAAAATCAAAAAATTAATAATCAAAAAATTAGTAACAAAAAAAATTAAATTAATAATAAAAATCTTAGTAATCAATAAATTAATAATTAAAAAAATTTTATCTTCAAAAACAATTATTCATATTTATAATTTTTTAAATGCTTAAAATCATCAATGTAAATACTTGACGCAATTAAGTTATTTATTAAAAAAAATAAATAGTAATTTGATGTGTTAAAATCAATATCTTTTCTAAAAATCTTCGTGACTAGTCAAAATAACGGACCGTATTATAAGTATTTACAAGGTCTAAAGAAATAGGGACAAAACCGAAAAATTTGTAATTGTTACCTCCACTTTGTCTATGCATAGGAAATTCTAACTTTCAAAGAAAATGGTAATGAAGAATCTGTGATGATAATGTCCTCCCCACTATTGACTAAGCTTGATAGTTCCTTCGTTAGATTAGGTCTCGTTCGTTCCTCGAAGAATGGAGGGGATTGCCAATATATTTTTTCATTTGTGCTTGTTGATAGACTGGGTTTTTTGAGTTGTCTAAAATATTATATAACACGCAGTGATTTAGTCATCTCACGAATTCAAAATAATAAATTATTTCAAACGAACGTTCATACATGTCAGGCTTCTCTTGAAGTAATTCGATGAAATCCTCGACTGTAATGTCTTTCCTAACTTCTAACGGAAGAGTTTGATTTCCACAAACCGGACAGTCTGGTTTTTTTTCGTATTCAAAGGTATGCGTGTACACACCTTCGTTGCCAGTGTACATCATGTAATTGTTAAGAAATGGTTGAGACGTTGTGATTATTTTGAATGCTTCGTTACAACATGCAGCTACAAAGTAAAAGGTAAATGGAAGTTCTAATTAAAGAAACAATAATGTATCGTTGAATCGGGTGTAAGTTTGGCTACCTGCGATAACGGCATTCGTTGAAGCTATTGCCGGTATGATATTTTTTACAACCCCCTGAGTAAGCGAGTAAGTAACTCCAGAAATATTAAACTCCTTTGCTTTACTGAGAGCCGTTTCATATATCCACTGAATATGGGTTGGGTCGTCTGTATCCATTTTTTCGTCTACGTGGTATATGTGTAAGTGAGTAACAGAAACTTTGATGATGCATATAAATATAAATATAAAGTCGAGATCCCAACCTCCTCGTACTTTTGGCCATTGCAGGACCGAGGCCCATTCAATGCAATGCTCAGGTAATCTTGGAGTATTAGCGGTAGTGCAGATAGGGAAGGTAGTAGGTTTATTGAACATTTCCAGTGAGCATTCATAGCAAGAAGTTACGGTTGGAATGATTACACGAGCCTGACCTTTAAAGCCTACAACATTCAGAAAAAAGCTTTATGCATCTGATCACTGCTCAAAATGCTATTCAATAAAATCACGTGACAAAGTTACCCTCGGTGCCACCATCAATTAAGACACGAATTTTTTCAGGGTCATCCTGGGCAATATTTACAAGCGTGGCATTCATCCATCTACGCGCCTCTACAGAATCCAACCCACAAATTATCATGTGAAAACCAAGGTAATAGTCATCATCTTTATCTTGAATCTTGCCGTGATAACTAAGTGGAGTAAGACAATCAATGAGATTTTGACTTCAAATAGCCAGATCGTGATCAAAGAAGTCGATTCTTTCGTACTAAGAAACTTTTACACCAGCAACGCGTTTCATCACAAATTCCGCAGCCACCTTAGCTTTAGGGCTTCCTACGTCAGACGGTCTGGATTGGAAGAAGGGAGGTAAGATTCTGAAAATGATAAATTTTATCGAAATTAACACATACCTAAACAAAAATTGTCGGTTCAAATTTGATACGTCGATAGTATCCATATCAATTACTTCAATATCCCTGAAACCAGAAAGTGCCAAGTTTTTCAAGATCTCGCAACCAAGCCCACCCGCTCCAATCACGAGAATCTTACATTGGCTAAGCAAGATTTCCTTATAAAAGAATGTATAAATATTATAGTTAAAATTTAAAGAGAGTTCGAGAGATTTAGATAAAACACATTGCATTTACCTCATTGTGACCAGGTGTAAAGCTTGGGTCACAAAAGGGACCTCTCCTATCCAGTATTTTATTAATATGAGACCAACGACCGGGCCAGTCTTTGGTCGAGCCAGCGGAAACTTGAGGCGTTGGATCATCTGTTTGCATTTGAGTTGCCATTACTGGTTGAAAACTGACGAGGAACGAGTAGTTCGACGTCACATAAAATCACACGTATCATTTGTTGTGGCAGTTACACACGCGTGGTATATACAGTATATGTAGCTACGATAAATCAAATTTTATTTCACTCGTTCTTAATATGGTGAAGCGTGGTTCGGTTCTAAGCAAGTTCCAAAACTTTGACGCATATGCAAAGACGCTTGACGACTTTCGCATTAAGACTTATTATGGTGCAGCATGTAAGAAAAAAAATCACGAAGACTCGCGAAAGAAGATGCGCGCTAATTTCCGATGATCTATTTTTTAGTGACTATCATAAGTACTCTTATTATTCTTGTATTGCTTTGGTCGGAATTCAACGAATATAGGTCGACCGAAATTAAGCCTGAACTAGTGGTGGATACAAGTCGAAAAGAAAAGTTGACGATAAACATAAACATAACGTTTCCAAGAGTTCCATGCTACCGTGAGTGTTAATCCGATCGATGAGTGAACGCTCGCCTCTTAGCCTATTCTAATTGATAATTGATCCACTCCTTTAATTTCAGTCTTGAGTGTTGATGTGATGGATATTGCTGGAGAATCTCAAAATGACCTGACACATGATGTATATAAAACTCGGATAGATAGCATGGGAAACAAAATATTAATTGAAAAAGCAACAGGTAAAATTTTATCATTCTTCACTCATTCGTCTATTGATCATTTCTTAACTCTGCTCGAACAAGTCATACAGATTTCTATCTTCTAATATAGAGATTGGAAATAAAACAAAAGAACCAAAAAATATAGTTAGTGAAACTGCACCCTCAACTAATGAGACCTATTGCGGAAGTTGTTACGGGGGAGATCCCCCTGAGAGCGGATGTTGCAATACATGTGAAGAAGTCCAGGAGTCATATATACGTAAAGGATGGTCTCTTAATAATCCAAATGACATTGAGCAGGTACTTTCACTTAAAATTTAATTGTCGTGTCATATGTTCATTGGTGGTGATCTTACGCTCATATTTAGTGTGTGAAAGAAGGTTGGTCAAAAAAGGCATCTGAACAAGCTAAAGAAGGTTGCAATGTTGCTGGAAGTGTGATGGTCAATAAAGTTGCTGGAAATTTTCATCTCGCACCTGGAAAAAGTTATCAACAAAACAATTTCCACGTTCACGACATACAACCTTTTTTAAGTGATGGAACTAATCACGATTTTACACACATAATTCATCATCTAAGCTTTGGACCGATGGTTGAAGGTGTGGCGAATCCACTGGACGGAGTTAGTCAAGCGGTCTCTAGTGGTAGATTTGATGGTTTTTTTAGTATATACCAAAATTATTTATCATTTAATAATCAATGATTACACCGCTGCTCCAGGTCTTCATATGTACACATATTTTGTTAAGGTCGTATCTACGCAATTTCATTTTTTAAACGAAACCAGCATTTACACCAATCAATATTCCGTGACACAATTCGGACGGGACCTGACCGGGAAAGATAATCATGATGGCCATTCACACAATCAAGGTGGTTTGCCTGGTAGGTTGATTATTGTTTGCATGTTTTTTTCTTTAATGAAAAGCGTGAAATCCAAATCCATTGTTTTTGCGGTTAGGTGTATTCTTCAACTACGAGATCTCTCCAATGCTGATCATAAACAGGGAGGAAAGTAAGAGTCTCACGCATTTCTTGACTGGCGTTTGCGCTATTGTCGGTGGTATATTCACCGTCGCGGGTATATTGGACGGGTTTATTTATAATGCAGAGAAAACCTTCAAGAAAAAAGTGGAGTTGGGTAAACATCTGTGAAATTAGATTTATATTAAAATCAATATTAAAAGTATATAGAAAATTGACTAATTTAAGAAAAAATTTTGGATTAATATTGATAATACTTTATTAACACAGGTTCATTTTAAATGAATAAAAATCACTGACGACCTCTAGTTTTTTATTATTAAGGTTGTACTGTGCATGGGATAATCTGCATGAAGTAATATAGTTACTAATTTATATAAGTCTCTTAAATGTATTCTAGATATGATAAATATAAACAAACTGTATTTTTTTGTATTTAGCTTATCTTAAAAAAAATAAAATAAAAAACAATATTTAAAAATAACATGAAAAACTTTATTGTAAAACTTAAAATAACATTTATTTTCATAAAATGTATGTTTCAAAACAGTATATATATTTAAATATATATTCAAATATATATCACAAATAATTTCCATTAGTAAATTTAATTAGATTGAAAATTTCAAAATTCTTTAAAATAAAAATCTTCAAAAAAACTTACATTTTTGTTAGAGATTTCTAAAGCAAAAAGTTATATAAATTTTGAAACCTTTTGATTTATTAAAGATTTTTGAAAATTTTTTTATTTTTATAATATATTTCAGTATTAAAAATATTTATATAATAATAAACAATATACAGTATTAAACAATTTCATATAATTTAAAACTTTTTTATTAAATTTTATTATTATTTTATAATATATTAAAAAATCTAAATTTATTAATTATTATCTTGATTTTTATATTATAATATATTAAACTTTAAAATAATTTTTAAAATATATTTATTGCTAAAGTATTTTATATTATAATAATATCATGTTTTTCATTAATATTACTATTGTATTATTATTAGAATTTGATAAATCTTAATAAAAGTTTTTATTATTTGTAGTTTTTTTAAAAATAAAATTTTAATATTAAAATTTATTAAACCTTTTTATTTATTTATATTTTTTTTATGAAAAAATAATCTATATCTAATTTTTATTGAATTTAACTTTAACCATCATATATATAAATGATCATACTAGCTATTATTATTATTAACTATATAAATTAATTATAATTAATTCATATTTATAATTCAATTATATAAATTTTATACTTGTATAAGGGTTTATATATTAAAAAAAATTATTTAAGAGATAAAAGTTCTGATATCAGTTTAAACTTTTAATCTACTAATTTAATTTTGTTAAAGAATATTTATCTTATAGTAATTGTTTATAGGACAACTGAATATTTTAATATTTTTTATTTTAAACTATTGAAAAGATAATATACTTAAAAAAAAACTCTTTTCCACTCCTCTTTCTATGCTTGAAAATTTCCTTTTTAGAAAACTTTTGAGTTGTTTACTTTTTTCATTTTTTCTTTTTCTTATACTCTTTTCTCTTTCTTTTTTTCTATTCTTTCCCTTCTTTTACAAAACTTTTTTTTACTTATTTCCTTTTTTCTTTTTTATCTTCTTAAAAATAAAAATTTTTTTTACCTCTTAGTATCACAGGTTTGTGTAAGAGTGACAGTCTGAGTATAGACTGGCATTAATCTTTTCAAGACCAAGAAATGATCAAAAAAAGAAGCAACTTTATCACTCCCTACAATCACACTTAGAGAGTTGGATTTGAAAAGTCTAAAATAGTTAATATCATGTAATAATAGCTTAATAAATCTACTCCTTTGTAATAAAATAGTTAGTAGATAGTTAGATTATGTGGGCAACATAGTGGTCTTGATATTAAGGATTCAAGAATTATATACAAATCAAAATAACTTGCTAACAGGTGTTCTGCAATACTTACAGTTTAGCTTTAGTATAACATTACAATGTACTGTATATTATAAATTGTATTACTGTTTTCAAAGATCAATAAATACTTAGAATTGCAATCTAATTAAAGGAAAAAAAAAACAATTCTTAAGTTAAAAATAATTTAATTTAAATTAAAAAAAGTTTTATAACTTGTAAAATCATTAGCTAATAAATAATATTTTTAAGTTTTTTTTGGTTCAATATTTATAAGAAACAAATATATTAATTTATTTTTTATATTAAATTTATTAATTTTTTTATATATGTTATATCCAAAATCAGTTAAGCTATACAAAGATAGAACCTTTGGTTTTTTTAATAATTATGGACTAAAAACTAATTGAAGTAGAAAAAGTTATATAAGAAAAGTTTCTAATTTAATTTATATTATAAGACTACATCTTTTTTGACATGACAATTTTTGTTATACATATAACATATTAATATAATATAAACCATTTTTAAAGAGATTATATAATATAGATATCAATATATTAATCAATAGAAAAATTTTTAAATGGCTTTGATATATAGAGATTGTGTTTTGCTTGATATTTATATTTTTAAATTTGATAACTTAAGTTATTAAAATCCTTTGAAATATTTACTAAAATATTTTGAAATTGTATTTTACTTGATTAATTATATTATATTCTTAGATTTGATAATTAATATTAACTAAAGAATAATATTTTTAAAGTATTTACTAGAAAGTATATATACTTTATTATAATTCTTGTTTTTTTAGTAACTATATAAACCAAAATTAAGATATAATAAGCAAGTTTGTTAAAGATCAACATATATATATAAGATTTTTTAATTCTAAATCACTTAAATATATTATTATTATTATTATTATCTTTTTGAAGAAGCAAATAACTACTCCACTTTATTTTATTATTATAATTTTAGACTTGCAATTACAAGATTTACAATATGATTAATATGATATACATCTCTTTTTATTAGGAAGAGTTAAATACAAGACCTACAGAAAGGCTATGCTCTTAAGCTTCTTGATACCACTTAAGAAATATAATAAAATAATTTAAAATCTATATTATAGCCTTAAATGGTATCTAACTAACTAGAAATTAATATGAATGTCTAATCACATAAAGGTACTACAATCACTTTATCCAGGTTTGTCTCTAAGTTATAAGTAGAACTAACATACTTGCTTTTCAAATATAACTTGATATTTAGTAAACAGAATAATATTGGGAGTTTTTAAATTGTGATTACCTTTCCACATGAAAGTATTGCAGCCATTTTATACAGGTTTGTCACCAAATCATAAAAAGGATTTGGCATATTTATTTTTCAAGTATAACAGAAGTGTTTTATGAATGGAGTTTTGTTTTGGATTTTTTAAAGGTACTAATACCTAATCTTATACAATGAGACCTACATTGTTGGATGTTAAGTAAGAAACAAGTAAAGAAGACTATGGTCTCTTGGTATAAGTGTTGTTAATAAAAGTGTATAGACTTTATTACAAAGAAATATAAAAATTTTTTTGAAACATCTGTTTTTTGTATTGGCAAAGGGATCAGTAAAAAAAGTTTTTTTATAATCACTTTAGAATTTTTAACTTAAGAGTTATTCTACATATTAATATTATAAAAGTAATATGTTTTTAAAAAAATTTTTTTTTAGATCAAACTTTTTGAAAATTTGTATTATATAAAACAATAAGAATAAAATTATAAAAAATTTATAAAAAAACAATAAATTTATTAAAATAACAATAATTAAACAATAATTAAAATAATTAAAATTCAAATTTAAAAAAATCTCAAGAAAAATAATTGAAAATTATAAAGAAGAAATATTAAAAAAATTTGCAAAAAAAAAAACTCTTACCTATTTATTATTGATTTTTTGAAAATTTTCTTCCAAAAAGCACTTTTTTTTTTATTTTCTTAAGGCAACTAAGCTTTAAACAAAGAATATAAAGACTTAAGAAATACTGTTACAGTAGGATGAGATCTTTGGTCAAGACCTAAGCAAGTTGGAAGTTTTTCTTAACTCTTGATTATATAGAGAAAGTCCTGTAGCATTTTTTCTTTATAATTTTTGTCTAAAAATCTTTCCTTTTATATAATTATTATAATTGCCCTCCTTTTTTTTTTTTCTTTCTTTATATTACAATTATATTTTTAACAACATATTCAAACAAAATTATTGGATCTAATGTTTGTTTTAATATAATCTTTACAAATTTCTTTATTTTTTTTTTTTCTTTTCTTATTAAAAAACAACATGTTTTACTTTCTTATTTTATTACTACTTTAAAAGGTTTTTCTTTAACTTAAAAACCATACTTAGCTCTACTTTATCAAAAGATTAACATATAACCAATAATCAATCAAATTCCTTTACTTTTTTAACAACAAAATCAAACTTGCTCAAACATGTTTTCAACTAGTTTTTCTAATAAAATACTTACACACTAATAATAATAACTTCAATAATAATAATAATAATAATAATTAACTGACAACATATAGGATTGGAAAAGCATATGAATATGCCCTGTGCAAGTTTCAATAATATTTAATTAAACAAGGATCAAAACAATACAATAAGATTGAAGCAGGTTCCATATCCAACTTATTAATACTTTAATTATATCACTAACATACAAACTATTCAACTTTTTACAATTATCATTAACAATGGAGTTGTAACCTATGAGTAGCAATGCTATTGTTAAAGAAAAAAAATAGCTTAAGCCTAACTAAGAATGGGTTCTTAAATTATTTAGCATATAAAATTTCACAGATCAATTATGTTCCTTTTGAAGAAACATAATTATTTATTCATTACTTTAATAGGAATATAATTCAAAAAACACTTGAATCAAGTGGCCTAAGTTGCAAAAAACCTTTGTAGATAGTTTTTTTTGATCTTATATTTAAAAAAAAAAAACTTTTTTAATAGTAAGGAACATTTAAATGATGTCCTTGTCTTTAATTTAGGAACCTATCTTTAAGCCTAACCAATATGGATAAAAGTAAAGCACTTTTGTTATAAGTAGAAGTAAAATATTAAAAAGCTGTACCTATAATTTAACAACTTATATCAGTGCTTCTCTACTGCTACTAGAGTTGTGTCCAACTATTAAAAAAAAAATAGTAACCTAGGTAAACATATTTGATTTATGCCTTGTGAGAGGAATTGTT